TAGGTAAAATGAAAGGGGGTAAGGCAGCCGGGATTGGTGGGATAAAGATAGAAATGTTAAAAGCAGGTGGGGATATAGTTTTGGAGTGGTTGGTGCAATTATTTAATAAATGTATGGAAGAGGGTAAGGTACCTAGGGATTGGCAGAGAGCATGCATAGTTCCTTTGTATAAAGGCAAAGGGGACAAAAGAGAGTGTAAAAATTATAGTGGGATAAGTCTGTTGAGTATACCTGGTAAAGTGTATGGTAGTTATTATTGAAAGAATTAAGAGTAAGACGGAGAATAGGATAGCAGATGAACAAGGAGGCTTTAGGAAAGGTAGGGGTGTGTGAAACATATAAGTGAACAGTATTTAGATAAGGCTAAACAAGTTTTTGTGGCATTTATGGATTTGGAAAAGGCGTATGACAGGGTGGATAAGGGGGCAATGTGGCACATGTTGCAGGTGTATGGTGTAGGTTACTGAAAGCAGTGAAGAGTTTTTACGAGGATAGTGAGGCTGAAAGGTTGGAGGGAGGGGGTAAAGGAGGTTTTGTGTGTGAGGGGCTTGGACTTCCAGCAGGCATGCATGAGCGTGCTGTTGGAGTGTGAGCAAAGTAACATTTATGAAGGGATTCAGGGAAACCGGCAGGTCGGACTCGAGTCCTGGAGATGGGAATTACAGTGCCTGCACTCTGAAGGAGGGGTGTTAATGTTGCAGTTTAAAAACTGTAGTGTAAAGCACCCTTCTGGCAAGACAGTGATGGAGTGAATGATGGTGAAAGTTTTTCTTTTTCGGGCCACCCTGCCTAGGTGGGAATCGCCCAGTGTGTTAATAAAGAGAAAAAATAAAAAAATCTATATTTCAAGTAAAAAATTGTTTTAATACTTCTGGGTGTCAGGAACAGATTAATTGTATTTACATTATTTCTTATGGGGAAAATTGATTCGAAAATCGTTGCACTTCCAGGAACGGATTAATGACGATAAATGAGGGACCACTGTATATGCAACAGCATGAGTAAAATTGGAAGTGATCAAGAAATAGTGAATGTCAAGTTAAAGAAGGCAAGTGAGCTTTTGCATATGGAAGTAAGTAAGACCAAATATGAGTAATCAGAACTTCCCAAGAATGGAGGTGAAAAGTATTTAAATTACTGAGATTACCTGAAAGTCCTAAATATGGACTCACTGGAATGGAGGACATAATATATACATGAAAGGATGTAATTCCACATTTATACACTGCCATATATGCTCGAGCATGAGATATGCGAGAAAGTGTATAATAAACTCAATGAAAAGCAAGAGGTGCCATGGGCATAAGAAGATAACACTGCATAAACATCCATCATCCCAGACTATTCAACATCTTACCAGAAGATATCAGAAACACTGCTGGGACAAGTGTAGAAATCTTCAATACGAAACTGGACAATATCTTTACGAAATACCAGATCACCCAGGGTTTGATGGATACGTCAGCCAGTTGGCCACCAGCAGAAACAGCCTGGTTGACCAGGCAAGCCTCAGACAAACCTGGCCCAAGGCCAGGTTCCGGGAGCAGAAAAGCTTTCAAATCTCATCAAAGGTAAAGGGTGAATATAGAAAGGAGGCAAATTAGAGAACCATGAGATAACGGTTACAAAGCGACAAACGTAATCCTTGATGATGAATGGAATCAAGTGTAGAAATAATCGGGGAGACTGAAGAATATATTTGGTCGCCATAATCAAGTTTAGATGAGCTTAGACTCGCACTTCCCTCAGTCCTTTCTATCTCAATCTCTTGTTACCCTCTACCCCTGCACTATCCACTGCCCTGCTGTTCTTCGTAACCAACTAATTATCCCTCCCCCTTTTGCCACCTGATACCCCCGCTTCCTTCCTGCCCTGCAGTGCTGTATAGCCCTTGTGGTTTAGCGCTTCTTTTTGATTATAATAATAATAATAATAATAATAATGAGCTTAGAGATGAATGAAGGTTTGTCTATCAGCTCCTCAAGAAAGACTGACTTTTAATGTTTAGGGGGTCATGACAAGCAACTTTGAGGGAGGTTATGTGAAGCTTCCAGGACATTCAGCAATCCAACAGAAAGCAGAGAAATCTTGAGTATCCTGTTAAGGGATATGAGAGCCACACAAGTATCAAACGGAAGTCAAAGGTTTGGTTAGCTTTATAATGGTGCTTGCATAACATCTCCGATCTCGGGTAAGGCAGATGTAAATCTCTACTTTGGTGATAAGTGTCCAGACTACATTGCTTGAAGTCTTGTTGGACTAGTGTGTGGGATAATGACAGAACCGCAGCTAGAATTGAGGAAGGAACATTTGTGTGCTGTGACGGGTATTGTCAGTAGAGCTGATACGGTAAAGATTGTCAGCTTGTTCAGCATCCTTCAGTAACATGCATACCACTCGAGTGCGAGAAAGAACACGTTCTGGCCAACATGCCTCACGATGGCTTTCCTAATGCTATTTGGTCAGGTAATCAGTAAGGTCATTGGAATAGAGCCTGTAG